ATTAAGCCCAATAATTTTTAAATGCTCTTGAAATCACTGGAAAATGCATAGTTTTGAGTAGATTTTTTACAAAATTTTCTAAGGGAGTATACCCCCCGCTCCCCCCCACAACTGCTTCAGTCCACAGCTGCCTGTTAAATTGAACAGATGTTCCTCTTTGCTGTCAGCAGATGTTGGCAGGTATGATCTACAATAACTCTTTAGTTAAATGAGCTGCAACATCTAATTTCCCTTTGGGATCAATAAAGTATTTTTGAATTTGAATTGAATTGAATGATATTTTGTTTCAAATCAATTACATTGTTAACTGTTTTAATTGGACGACCTGCTTTCTAAAGATAAAAGATAATGTCAAAGACAAAACTATTTAATTTGGTGTGTGAATGTACGGCAGGTAAACTGATGGTGGGAGAGTTAGAAAATTTCACAAAGGGGTGTCACCTGAAATCTCGCCCAGGGCGCCAAATTGGCTAGGGCTGGCCCTGCTTAAAGGAAAACGTTGCCTTTCATTCCTATTAAACTAACATCTTGTACGACACATGGACAACATATGGTTCGAGGGCCAAAGGTGGCCCTTGGAACATCTTGGTCAGAACCCAATATTCTATATTTAAAACCTTCAAGGAAGTTTAAGTTATACATTCAAAAACTGTAGATTACATTTTTTCCCCTGGTAGGTCATTGTGTTTCCAGAATTACACTATTCTTTATAAAATCCAAAAAACAAACATATCACATTTGTTTGTTTGTCTCAACATTTTAAGCTGACAAATGAATTGTCACGAAAGCTAGTGTATAGAAAGTATGCTTTATATTCTTTTTTTTCATCAACCACGCTAACTGTGCAACAAGAAAAGTGTATTCAAAATTACCAGAAAAACATTTCTTTTCCACTTCACCATGCAGTCCTTTAACTTTTTGTAAATAACTTGATTTGGCACTCTGGAAGCAAAATGTTGCCTGCCCCGGTCTCAAACTGAAAATATTTTTTTCAACAGGCTGTCGTGCTCAAAATATGTAATATAAGTATATGATTACTGATTCTCACCATGTCATATTTTAGCCCAATATCTGTACTGCCTCAACTATAGCAATATTTGTGTTTTATTAGGTCAGTTAGCTGAAGCAGTCATCTTGAATGAGGTTGGCTCCTAAAGTCTGTAGTATATTAAATTTTCCTGAAACTTTCAATAAACTCTGTACTGTGGTTCATGTTTCATGTCATCTAAATTCCAAAATGTTAAGTTTACACTAAATATTGTGATAAAGTGATTGGGGATCTACAGATTTTTATCTTCATGTTGATAACAGATGCACAAGGGTTTGAACACAGACAGAGCAAAACACCACTTGCTTCACTTTTTAGTGATAAAATGAGCTCATTTTCTGCTTAATACTTCAAACGCAGACACCTTCAAGTTTGAGAAGCAGTCAGAAAATCACCAGGTAACGATGGAGTAAAAAGAAGGGTTGAGACAAATACAGATGCAGGATGGTCTCTTTTATGTTTTCTCTTTATGCTAATGTTTTTACAGATTTATGACACACCTGGACATAAAAACAACCATCAGTTTGTTTTGAACCTGCAAGCGTGTGTTTGTGTGTTCCTCCTCTGCATAGATTTTTCCATCAAAACATTTGTTTCTAACTGTAACCAGGTACGATGAGTCATTGCTCGTTGGAAGGGCAACACAATGAGTCACATTCAGTCATCTCAAAAACAAATAGATTTTCCAGTGATGATTTCTTTTGAAATGCCTCTCGTATTTTTTTGTCCGAACAATTTGCGTCTGGTTCTCAATATATTCTAAAGAACAATAAGGGCTCGTTGAGTTTTTCTCAGTAAGTTGTTGGTTGAAACAAAGAGTTAGATTTCTTTCTTTCTTTTAAATGACAACCAGTTATTAAGTGAATCACAGAGTTTTCTCTGACCAGTAGAGGTCAGCAAAAATGAGATATTGATTTACTTTTCAGTAGAACTGTCATTATTGGGACATCTGAACTTTAGATCTGTTCCAGGCTTTGAAACCTGAAATCTGTTGCAAATTAAAATGGATGCTACAAATGACAAACTCACAAGGAATTATTAACTTGAACACTTTTTTTTCTCTAATGAGGACTAAAAACAAAAAAACCACGTCTTAAAGGTTGTATTTACTCAGAATTTGTAATTTTTCTTAACAAATTTTTAGTATTTGATCAGTCTGGAGTGATACAAGGTGCTTTTTGATACCAAAGTAAACACTAACTTAATACACCAGGATCAGCTATAGGCACACTGAAATCTATGTTAGTTTACTTAACTCACTGTAGCTTTATTACCTGGTTCCACCAGACTTTTTCTGTTCTGAAGCTTTGTCCTCATCAAAAAGTTCATTAATAAAGAACAGAGTTAAAAGATGTGTCACATTAACATGATGACAAAAAACTTAAAGAATTTATAAAAACAACAAGTTATGATCTTAAAAGTATTAGATATAAGTACAGCAAATACTTTGAGATAGCGTTTGTTTAGTAAAACCAATATCTTGTTCTTTAATTGTTTTTGTCTTATTTTGCCAGTTATTTGTAATGGAAGTATTCATTTTGAGATCAAGCAAACGCTTCGTTACAGTGTGAAAATATGAGGCAGCACAGTGATGGAGAGATTTACTGTTCAGCTGCACCCAGTTGTAAAACCAGCAGTTTCTGGTGGCTGTGTTCAACAGGACACAACAAGCATGGTCCAAGAATGAACACAAAACAAGGAGAGGAATAGTGTAGCCTCCAAATCCTCCTCTCCTTCACCCATGTGACCCTGTAGGCTCTGGACAAACAGGTCTGATATGTAGGGACCCCACCTTGAAACTTAAAAAAAATCACCAGGACCTGCTCAGTAGGAGAACATTAATAGCTGACAGGGGTCCATTTTGCAGAAATGTAAAATATCTGGGTTATATTGTATAGAGAGAGTAAAAACTGATTTTCATACAAAGGGGGGTCATTTGGCTAGTATAAGCTTCCACAATAAAAGATTGTTTAACACTTATTATGGAATCCCCTCCTGACAGACATAAAGGTTTGCAACTTTTACTAAGGTTTGAAAAACAAAACTCTCAGCATACTTTTATAATCTTTGTGTTTGACCGTCTTCCTTTCAACTTCTGAACGTCCTCCTGCACGCGATAAAAATAAAAAAGGAGCAAAGCATCAATATACGTGACAAAGTGAGCTTGTTGTGTTCCTCTGACCACACTGTGGAGCTGATTGATGACCCTTACTTGACTGTGCTCATTAGTCTGCAATCATAAAATTAAAAATGAAAGCTCCGATGAGTTTGTAAAACGCCCACGCATCAGAAAATTAGCAGTAACTCATGAACACAGGTCATCATTTTTGCAGGATTGCTCTTCTCTTTCTGAGTTGTTTCGGAACAAAACGAGAGTTTAAATCATGATTACAATTTGAGTTAAATGCCTTGCATTCATTGGAGGGAAGCATCAGAATTTTAGACTCAAATCTTGTTTAGATGTCTTGGTCAAAGCTTTTTACAAACCCATATCTCTGAGTGTATCATCGAGGATGGATGGATGGATGGATGGATGGATGGATGGATGGATGGATGGATGGATGGATGGATGGATGGATGGATGGATG